CCGTTGATAGAAACTATATAGCTCGGCTTCCAGCCGTGCGCGATCACGGCACGATTCACTATGGGGAAGGCCTTTACTAACGATTTTTTGAAATTTTCAAATATATATGTCTGGCTTCCAAATTCCCCTAATAAAAATTTGCCTATGTTTTTCCACCATAGCGCGGCCTGTCCTCTTAGTGCTGATGTGGCGATGGCAACTTTTTGTCTTTCAGGCACAGGGTAGAGCTGAAAGTGGTTTTCTAGACCTTCTAGAAATACCGCCACCGAATTTTTTCCGTCGAAATGGACGTTTGGCTTGATTGACGCTCTCAAAGTCTGGACCAGGTATCCAAATCCTTCTAACTGGCTTGTCATTTCTTGGTGTTGTCCAGCGGCTTCCATCCAATTTTCGGCCATTTCAGTTCGATAATTGTTCGGGCGCCAATGTAACGTTGCGCGCCTCCAACTTGCACGCAACCAAGAGGTGACTGTGAAAACTGTATAAACCACAGAGTCTTGTGAAGGGTTTAAGTCCCTTTTTATTCAACGTAAAAATTACAATTGCGTGCTCTTGACGCTCACAGACTGTGCCAACTCGGCAGTCAAATAAAAATAATAACCTGAAAAGAAACTAAAGACAAGACTAACTACGAGGCTCTCTAAAATAACTAACTCACCGCGTTTTACAATACCGCTGCTAATTCAGCAGACTTGAAGCTCGCTTGAACGATTAACACTACTTCCCGCCAAGCACATAGGCCGAAACGCGGGGTTCTTCAATGTCTCGCTAACTACCTCCGCGCTCGTGAAGTAAGAATATCACACACCGAACTCGTTTCCTCTCTATTTAAATCATAATACTTCCGCTGATAATTTGAATCCTTGCGCGTTCTACTAAAATTTACATATTCTGGCATTGGCAGTTCCAGGGGAAAGTAAGGCGTGACAGGAAAGATAGTTTAAACTTAAAATAAATGTTAGTTAAAATAAATATAAACCCTACAATCTATAATCTGGAAAAACCCTTAATCCGGAATTGCCAAAGTCTGTAGGATTATGGACTTTGTACTGTATATACTTCTAGTAAAAGTTTTTGGAATGTAGTCAGTTTTACCAAATATTTTGTGTACATATATAACTTCCCAAGGCTCGGAGTTACCTCCAGTTTTGACCTTTTTCTGATGCAAAAAGTAAAATTATTTCCTTTTTTCTTATCAGTGGTCTTGCAGTTTATTTTGGTTTAAGAATGCTACAGCTCAGATGTGAATGCTATTAATTTGCTGAAAATCAGATATGAATAGTATTAATTTCTGCATTCTTAATGTAGTTTCCTTCACTACTTTGTATAATGTGGAGGAAACTAGTGAACCATGTACCGACTTATGTTGAGATCAAGTACTTATAAGGTAGACTCGAGAAGGGTTAAAATACCCTTTTATTCTCTGCTTGCTCAATATGCAACACTCTTCCACACAGCCACTGTTTGTATTATTGCATTATGGAGAAACGGGGATATGAAGCAGTTTTGCCTTCAGGACCGGTTCAGATGCACATCGTCTTCCATACCTTAACCCATAAGCCACTGCGAGCAATGAATGATGTCGCAAATGCGAATCGGATTGCCGGATTTTTAGTGTTGACTTATATCTTTTTTGACATTGTTTACAATTGCAATAGAATGTCATCAGAGTTTAATTCTTTAATTAATTAAAATACACTTAAATTAATTTTAAATGCAATTTATATGCGAGACCAAATGGTTAAAAGAAAAGAAATCGCATATGCTGCTGAGCAGTTTTAAATAAAATGTTTTGTGGCTGCTCAAATTTCAAACTTTGCTTTTTGAAAAAAATAAATAAAAGGACAAATTAGTAGCATTAATATTAATTATAAATGTTTTAATATTGATTACAAACGTTTAAGAAAATATAATTAATTCATCTCTTCAAATAGTTCTAAACATGTTTTACGAAGATTTTGAATAAAAGCATGTAATTTATGTTTATATAAACAAATTGAATAGCACTAGGCTTTATTATATATATATGTAATGAAATTCAGTAATAAAGTTTTTAAGAAATTTGAAATGATTTGATGACTATATAGACAGCTTTTATTCTCTAAACTGCATTTTCTCAGATCGCATTTTTTCGATAAATCCTTTTATTTAAAGTCCTAAACTTGTGTAGATATGGCCTAAATTATTTAATATTTTTTACTGCTTAATTAAAATTATATACTTTAGAGAAACAAGAATGAGTTTTGCAAAATACTGAAAAGTTATTTGAAGTGGAAATGTGGTTGAGATCATATTTGTTTCAAAGTTTTTGTATAAAAATGTGCTTTTATTTTTTTCTCAGAAACTAATTCATTAATTTCAAAATCGATCCTTAAAGTTATTAAGAACTCTCTAATAAATATAATAAGAAAATGTGTGGAAAAATCATTGAAAATTCTAGGAGAAGAATGATATTTTAATTGTTAAACTTTTCTTCCAAAAATTTTAATTTAAAAAAGAAAAAACTGGCAAAAAAATTTTTCCTCAACTTAAAATTATTTTGTCTTACAAAACCATTTAATAACATTCATAAAAGTAGATGAACGTTTTAAAATAAAAAAATCATTCAAAAGGTCCGAGTCTCCTTGTCGAGTTGAAGTCGATATGCACGTCTTTAGTGTTAATTTGAGCGGTATTTCTGGAATACCCAGCATCAGATAACCTTGTCTGTACGTGTTTACAAATTTCTGTATTTCATACGGTTCTATTTAATTTTTTTGGATGATATCGTATCTTCAGATATCTACCTATGCGATCATTTCACTGATAGTCCAGTGAGCAGTCAGTTGCAAGTCACCCATGTTTATTAAAATTAAGTGAACCATGCAGTGCAGTATGGGAAATCTTCCCATTTACCCTGTTCTCTAGAGGTAGGAATGTTCTACCTCCAACTCGGAGAAGCAGTTAATGCTTGTCGTTGTGTGAATGGGACACGTTGGAAGAACCAGTTTTCACTCCTGGTCGAATCTGCTCTTGTGAATGAGACTAAAGGAGTAATAACAGTCGGCCTTTTTCGGGCTTATGGGAAAGCCTCCAGTCGGGCTTTTTATAGGATAAGAAAATAAGAAACTGATCTAATACTAACTGAAATAGACTTAGCCGAAGCTCGACACATCTAACATTAGTTGGTCCTTAATTTAAACTAGCCAGCGATTATCAACAGGCATGTACAATATGGCCAAGCATAATAGATTCAAGAACGAAGTAGCCAGAAGGCAAACACGTGCCACTCGCTAAGGGCTCCTAAGCATTCTCTTTCAGAGTAAGTTGAACTTCCTTTAAATACTACTTCTAACTCTTTTGAATTCAGTATGATACTAAAAATTCATTCTGGTAGGAAATTGTAAGTAAGAAGTAAAAATTGAAAGTAAACGGTTTCAAAATTAAAAATGACTTCTAAAATTAACATTCACCTTACTTATATGGCTATTAAGTTCTATTAAGACATTCTGAAGCTTTAGGGGCAAAAAGGATCTAGGTTCTTTTCACTAACAAATATTTTGAGAGTAGGCCTTTTTGTAATGCAGAAGTTGTTTCAGCACTAAGTTATGCATTTATTACATATATTTTAGGAAGTTCAAAACAGCTCTTTTTTAAATTCCTACTATTAGTTCACAATCTCCCTATATCATTTTCAAATTTTTAGTCGTTAATAAAATACTTTTAATTCATCAAGTTCAAATGCATTTTTTGAAACTTCTAGTGGTTGACACTCGGTGTTAATACAGTTTTTTCACGTATTAAAGTCAATTTCTACTTATTTATTCCTGTTTATCGGAACTAAAGATATGCTGTTTATGTATGTATATTACAAGACTTAAAAATAATGACCGCTTATTAGGAATTCTCGCATGCTGTAAAAATTAATTTTATAACAACTTATAAATAATAGTACATGACTGTGATGAATGGGATTGTCATATTTAAAAAAATAAGTGGCAACTGTAAGACAGAATTGTAAAGATTTTTAAAGTGTATGGAATTAAAGAATTAGTTTCATTTAGTTGGATGAAGCGGATGTAATGTCCCATTATGTAGCGAAAATTCTCCCCATATTCCATTTCTATGTTATCATGATAGTAATATATCTTTAAAATATAACCCTTTAAAATGTCCCTTGCTTATTAAAATAAATAGCACTGTAGATTATGCAGTAATATATGTAGGAGGAAAACTCTTCACAGTACGTTAAACATATGTCGCCTTGAGTCGTGTGAAATCATTAGATGGAATATTAATTGAAGAACTGGACTGCTCGAAACTCACTGGAAAGGTTTCTTACAATAATGAAGCATTACAAGATATGGATAGAATGGGAAAATATAGACCACCATCAGCTTCATAAATTAGAAATGAAAAAGTGTTAATATAAAGTAACTAAAATAAAATTTTTCTTCATTGACCTAAGTAGTAATTAATTTTAATTATTTGTTTAACTTCCACTATGTTATTTTTTTATCTATTAGTTTTTGTAATTGTTGCTACTATATATGTAAACCAACACAAAGATTTAATTTTTTATAGTTTCCTTAGTTGTACTTTAGATTGCCATACTGTGAAATTTAGGATCATTAAAACTGTAGAATATAGGCTGTTTATTATTTTTAGCTTTAATTTCTGTATGTTAGATAAAACATTAAACATATATTAATAACTCACATAGACAAAAATCTAGACTGATTTGAAATCATTTTCTGAAAAAGAAAAAAAAAAAAAAGTGTCATTGAATGAAGGATTATTGGTACTTGTTGGTTATAGTGGCTTTGCCATAGAAAAGGAAATTGATGCTTTTCAACCTTTTTTTTTTTTTTCTGTTTATATCAGACTTTCTGTTTCTGGCCAAGGCAGATATAAAAGTCAGGTACCGTAGAAATGGCAGCTGCTCTATAATGGATTATCTTGTTTTGCAAAGTAAATCTAACCTGTTTTTGCTTCTTAATGCCAATAATTTCTTTTTCTAGGTCAAGAAAGGTGGCCACCTGGTTGTTCTTTACGATTTGTTGGTGGTGATCGGATGAGTCATATCGATCGTGTTTTTGTAGATCCTTTGGAACCACACGAAATGGTTGATGTTTCTGTAGAGATGGTGAGTCCTCAAACACCAGGAATGTATCAAGGACAGTGGAGAATGAGTACAGCAACTGGGCAATTTTTTGGAGGTATAATTTTTTAACCATGATCTGCAGTTAAAGTAACTGTTTTTATTTAAGTTGTTTTAGAAATAATTCAGTCATGATTGATGTTAGAAATACATTTCTAAAATATGCTGAAATAGCTGTAACAGAAACTACTGATCTTTATATCTTTTATATAGTTGTATTTCTTAAATATGATCTTAGAAATCCAAAAGTAGCTTCCAAATACACTTTACAAGTACAAATGCACGTACAGAAAGTACCTTCCAAATATACTTTTCGCATCTCTATTTTAAAGCACATATTATTGAGGAGGAAAACCAAATTTAAAAAATGTAACCTTGTAAACTTTTATGTTCAACCTAATAATAAAAAAATTGGTATCAGTTTGATGTTGAAATAAGTGGTTATGGTGGATAGATGGATATAAAAGTGTTGTTAAAAATGCAACTGGTTGTAAAATAGTATCCTAAAAACATACAGGACATTAAAAAAGTGAATAAATAAAACTGAAAGGATTCAAATTTTAATGATTGCCGAAAAGGGCTCTTGTTACTAATGTATTACTCCCATCCACCACCCAGGTAGGGCAATTTAGTGCTAATTATGGATGACCACATCCTTCAGAATTCTGCACTAATGATTGACAATTTGCAACTGTTGCTGAAGTTTCCATCTGCTGGCGATTTGATAATATATAAATACTGGGCTATTTTCAAAGTTTGATATTGCTTATCAGTAGAGATCATCAATAGAGATGGCCTAGGTGGAATAGGAAAATTTTTTATAGGATACCATATAAGGTATTTCTCCTGCCTTCTTAGCAAGCCTTCATGGTGTAGTGGTCAGCACACTCAGCGTGTATTCAAGAGGTCTGTGTTTCGAGTCCTGGCGAGGGTATTGCTAATTTTTAATCTCTCCTTCTTTGAAATAACCTAATGTCTCTACAGTGCTGCCCAAACTAAAGGGTAGTGAATGATGATTCTTTATTACCACAATTTGGCGATTGGTCACCATTTAAAAGGGGGGTATATAATAAGGTTATCTCGCCTTCTTAGCATGCCTTCGTGGTGTAGTGGTCAGCACACTTGGCGCGTATTCAAGAGGTCCGTGGTTCGAGTCCCGACGAGGGCATTGCTCATATTTCATCTCTCCTACTTCGAAATAACCTAACGTCTCTACAACTAGATAACGAACATTTAGACTATTGAAAAGTGAAAAAATATATAATGTAATCTTTTTTAAAAAATTTAATTAGATATATTGTGAAAAAAATTTAATTTGAAAGAGACATGTGTTACAGTTTGCTGAATGGCAGCAGGCTTGAGTGAAAAATTAAATGACACATCTGTGGTAGGGGCAGAACAAATTTTTTTTTTTTTTTTTAATTCATATTACCTGAGTCATTGTGTGGTTCCAAATAGCCTAGAACAAATTGTGTTCGAATTTTAGCCCAAAATATTGACATCTTGCGGTTCCACACCTCAAGTGAATATCTCTACTGACTTTTTTAATGGTTTTATGCTAAACAGCGACGTTTCTCCCATGATCTTTCAACGACTTTTTATTGGTAATGAATTAGTTGGCTGTGTGGTGTGTTTTGTCAATCCTGCTTTATCAGTCATTGTTTATGTTGAACTAGGATGGCTTCAACTAGAAGTAGATCATTATGAGACCTTTGTTGGTCATAAACTGCATTAGTTTGTATGCTTGTTGTACACTAGTGAATTACCTCATTGTCATATTTTCCAGAAGATTGATGGAAATACATCTGGACCACAATAGGTTTCTGGAGCAGTGGGAAAATCAGTGAAAATATGTGAAACCATGACAGGTTATTTCCCTATTGTAATTAATGTATCCGAAATTGGAAAAACACACACACACACACACACCTCAGTACTGACCATACATCCTTGATATTTCTAAGGCAGCATCCTCGGGAGAGAGCCTTTTAGACCTAGCGAACAGGAGTCCTAGGAAGATGGCTGACTACATCCAACAGAATTCTTCATTTTTATGTATCAACTGCCGAACCATCAGACGACTTGAATCTGCTAGTCGACTATGTTATAAAAGTTTATGTACCATCCTGGTTTGAAATAAAGAAAATCCCAAGAGCAGCATGTGAAACACATCATATTCACAGGATGATCAAGGAAAGTTCATTCTTGTCAGAAAGTTTTAAGGCAGTCATTTGTAAATTTATTGCAATGCTGGAAGATGAACGAGCACATATTCGTGAACTTGAGCTGAGAAGAATACTGAAAGCAAGAAAACTAAATGGAAGGGGAAAATACGACAATTTATGCTTCCCAAATTAACTTTCAAAGCAGAGGAGTATTTTGAGATGATTCGCTGGGACAGTTCCTTGGAAGCACTGGCTGCCTTGAACTTCAGGGGTGAAGACATAAGATTGATTAGAAGCAGTTTTCAGTTTGATGTAGGAAAGTTCCCTTGTCATTCTCAAACAGTAGAGAGGCATGCGGTACTGGTGACAGAGGCGTCGTTGGCAACTTGTGATGCAGAAGCCAGTGATGGATTTATAGGCAATTGAATGAAGTTCTGGAACAAATTTACACAGACTGCAAGATGAATTTCTTTGGTTCTCTGATGGAACCTGAAGATGACAGGTGATTAAGCTTACACTTTTTTTACTGGCATTTTTTTAGCAATTACAACCATAAGTTGGGTCAAGAAGCAGAACTATAAAAAATATACAGTCAAAAGTCGTTAATCCGGAATCGTCGGGACTTCGGCGATTCCGGATTATCGATTTTTCCGGATTATAGATCATCAGTTTAAATCTGGTAAAATGGCATGCAGAAATTATAAAAATTAAAAATATGAAAACCGTAATTTATGAAATAAAGAACAATTATGATCTAAAGGTACAAAATTTTACAAAAAAAAAAAAAAAAAGCTTAATATTTATTTGTTTACTTTATTAAACATTTCTTTCAATGTAAGTTGTTTAAGTTGCTTCATTTTTTATGTTATAATACATTCTCTTTAATTCTATAAACAGACATAATTTCTTGTTCAGTTACAAAGTTCCGCTGTTCAAGTCCTATAATTACTGTGTCGAGAATACCGACTAATTTGCCAATCGAAATTTTTTCGTTTTCAATAACCTCTGACACTTTCTTCCCTATCCGAAGGGAATTATAATGACGAGGCATTTGATTTAAATCATATCAAAGACGAGATGAAATACTACGTTGAGTAAGCAATTATAAGCCAAATAAAATAAAAACATCTGCCCTTAAGATAAGGATAGTGCTGACAGATCAACTTCCAATTCATTTCACATCACCACCGCGTTAAAGATAAACAAAGTTTAGACAAACAAACGTTAAAGTTTAGATAAACAAAGGATATGCTTTTATCCATTTTTTGTTTAATGGACTCGGAAAGATACTTTCGCTCTTTATATCCTTTACTTATTAGCAAATACATATCGGAAATTCTATTTGACATAATCGAAAGTTCAAGCTTACTTTTATAAAATTGCTCTAACAGTCTGCAAAAAATAATAATCCGGATCCAATTCGAAGATTAAGGAACAACACAATCTGCAACATTAACGGAAATAGATAATTAGATAATTTTAGCTTAGCTTATCCCGTCCGTTATACATTAAACGCGCATTCGTAAACGTATTTTGCGCACGCGCACACGCAAATTCGCAGCGGTAAAGGCAATGCGACGCATGCGCAGAAAGTTTGTAGCTTTGAGGTCCGGATTATAGATCATTCCGGATTATGGGTGTCCGAATTAACGACTTTTGACTGTATTGTTAAAATATAGTTTGATGTTTACATTAACATTAATTTTTTTTTTTTTACCTCATGGGGAACCTGAAGATCGAGCAAAAACCAAGTGTGATTGAGCTGGAAAATTGTTTACTGTGTTTTTTTCATCAAGCAGAACCATTTGTTGGGTCAGGAAATAATAAAATTTGAAAGAAAAAAAATTGCTATTCTTGCTCCACCATTATCTACATTAAATGACGTTTAAAGTGAATATAAAATCATCGTTTAAAGACTAACATCCCTTTTAGGCCAATAATAAGTTTTCAATAGGAGAAATTTACCTCCGTCCCCCCAAAAAAACCCCATGATTTTTTGCCTAATTTAAAATTTTTCTGCCCAATTTTAAAGTCCCCCCCTTTTTTTTTGCAAAATGTGAAGCTTTGGCACATTTTTCACTTAATGAGTTTCTGCTTATTGGAATGATATGTAAATTATCTCAAAGGTGCAAGTAATTTTTTCCCCTTTTCTAATTGTAATATTGATGCATTTTTTTGCTTAGTTTAAAATTTTGTCCCTTTACTTTTTTAGGAGTTTTTTGTAATTTAATTCACAACACTTTTTAACAGCCTTTTTTGCCTATGGTAGAATTCCAGCCTGTCTGAAAAATTCTATCGCTTCTTCAATTGAAGGAAGTTGGAAAACATTGATATCCATTGGCAAAAAAATAATTGCAGAAAGTTTCACATATTTAACCTAAACTTAATAATCCACGTAAGTGTAGCAAAAAAAGGTGTGGGTATAGCAAGTCCGGGATAATACTCTTTATTTTAGTGCCCTCTATAACCTATGTTAGGGTTAACCTGTATAACCTACAAGGTTCGCCAACTTTGGCGATATATCTAGGTAGTCGTCATAGTACTTAAGTACCCAATTTTCATTATGGTGTTTTAAGCAGTGGCCTCCTAAGTGGCCCAGTGTTAAACTCGCTGACATACAGAGCTGGTTACATGGGTGTTTTCGTGATTTTTCCCATGTGTAACTTGGATATAAGACACTTTCTGTTAGGAAGTCCTATACATAGCTTTCATTTGCTTTGCCATAATCCAGTAAACTATAAAACCACCTTTGAGCCATGCTACTAATTTTACTGGTAGATTTTTATATATGGCAAATTCTAATACTGTAGGAATAGTTAGATTGAATAGGAAGAATATTCTGAGAGACCTTATAGTGGCAAAACTGGAATGGTATGAATTTATAATAAGTTATTTCAAAATTATGCAAAGTATTTTAGCTGTAAATTTAAGGGGTGGAATATATGCTGTGTTCGAAACATAGGCTCACTAGTGATCGGGTGGTAAAGTTGCTGAACACTGGTAGTTTGACCTGGGTTCCGTTCTAGGTGAATGGTCTGGCTCCATGGGTGTTTTTATGGTTATGTTGCATGTGTAACATGGATATGAAACAGTTTCCCATGGAGTCCTTCACAAAAGTGTACCTCCTTTTAGGCAGTGCCCCTTTGAGTGCTTTGTCGCAATTTAAAAAAAAAAAAAAGAAAAAACTTGCCAGTGTGCAAAACACAAGAAAACTGAAAAGATGGAAGAATAGTAACATTGTTGAAAATACTTTAGAATATAATATCATAGGTGAATTAGATTTACAAGATAGTTACTTATCTTTTTTGTTACAAAAATTTCTGAAAAGTTATAAAAAGCATTTTTCATTTTTATAGCTATGACATTTATTACTGCAAGCTTCATTATCAATGAAGTACAAATATTCATTTTTTGAATTTTCAAATTTTCATGTAGCTGTAGCAGAAAAAAAATTCTTTTAAAACTACCTTTATTTCTGACTGTAACCAAATGCTGGAAATGAAGTGGTAATATGTGGCTTTATTTGCAATCAAAGCTACATGGGGAAGGGGGAATTACTTGGGAATGTAAATAGTATCATGTTGCATTTCTTATTCAAGAGAATTTTGAGGTATCCCACACTGTACAAAATTATTAACAAAGACATAAAGTAAGAAATTTAGAACCAACTTTTCACAAAGACCAAAAATTGAAAATCATAATAAATTTCAAATAATCGTACAAATGCAAGATTTATCTTTTTTCTTACTTTTAAAATTCTTTGGATTATGTGCTCTTTGTTTAAAGGTTAAATTTTGATTTGCATTTTTCACTAAATTATTTTATTATTTTACTTATGTTTTCAATTCTTTGAGTAGAATTCTCTTTGTTTAAGGCACAAGATTTTAAAAAGAATTTACCTTGTTTTTCCCTTACTTTGGGAAGGAGCCAGAATTTTCGAATAAACTATTATATCTAAAATACATTGAAATGGTTCATCGGCTAAATTCTGATACAGAAAAGCAAGGATTTTTGCAGAGGGGGAGGGAGAACGATCATTTAGCAATGGTGAAAGGGATGCATGGGGCAAGAAAGGGTGAGAACTGGTATAGTGGAAAGATTTTATTACCCTTTTTGAATATTTTATATGAGCTTTACTTTTCTATCTGTGTATATAATTGTCTTTGTTTAATGTTATAAATTTAATGAGGCAAATTTTGTAACTATAGCTTTTTATTTATGCAGAAGTAATCTGGGTCATTGTAACAGTGGCTGAGGGAGGTGTTTTGAGTTTGACTCAACAAATGGATGCATTTCATCAGCTTGGATCACCTCCACGGACTACACATATGCCTATAAATCCATTTGCTTCATCAAATTCTAAATGTAGAGGTAAATTATTTTTGACTTTTGAAACTACTTTTTTCCTTTAAAGCATTTTTAATGTTTAAATTTAATTGTCTTGCATTAAATTCATGTAAGTTATTTAATTTTATTAAACTGTGTGTTCGATAATATTCTTGAAAAACTTATCTGCTGTGATTTTCAAATATAATGTGTAACTAAGTAATGGTCATAAATTTACTGCTTGTAAATGGTCATAAATTTATCTTTGCAATTAGAAGCTTCTCTATCTGTTTGTCATTTAGATTTAAAAAAAACTTTTTTTGAAGAAATATTAATTTTAACAGTTTTAATGCTTAAATGATACTGATTGAGAGAGGGAGATTAAGAATTAGGATTTAATTGAACGTTCTTACTTGTGCTACAGAACGAGAGCACAGTGAGACATTATAAGATTTTTTGGCTAAAAAAGGCAGAGACGTGTATTGGGAAAAAGCAGTGCAAGTTGCATTTTGTGCTGTAAGTTGTTTTGAATATTTACTGTAAGGATGGAAACATAGCTGCATATGATGTTTAAATGTGTCCGATATAATTTCGGAAATGCAAAAAAATTTTGGCCATTTCTCTTATTTAGTAGTTATGCTGGAGAAAATTGGCAGATTAGTGGAATAAAACATCGTTTGGAAAACTTGTTTCCAGCTGATAGCTGTACTAGAAATGAGAAATCAAATCTGTGTTATACAGAACTTGTTTCCAGCTGATAGCTGTACTAGGAATGAAAAATCAAATCTCAGTGTTATACAGAACATTATTTTGTAGTGCTTAGTGTCTTATAAGTGGGTAACTGGTAGCTGGAATGCAAATTTACATATGAAGCTTTTTATCAGCACAGTTGACTCTTGCTGATGTATGTAGGATGTTGTTCAACCCAAGATAATGATTTTATTGATTGGGTGAAATAATAATATGGTAAAAGAAGAATTTGGTTAACAAAATTAATCATGAGAAAAGGTACTGGGTCATTTGGAAAGTTTGGCATTTTTTTATTTTAAATACAAATTAAGCAGTAGAAAAATGTAAGAAAATTTCATCGAATCTCGTAAGCATCATTGGTAAAAATATATTTAGGAATGCCCTTTGGCAAAAATTGTTGATTTTTGGCAGTACATAGACACCAAGTTTGTGAAATTCTTTGACTTGTTATTTTGGCTTTGTGTAGTGGCAATTTTTGGCAAAATAACAAGTCAAAGAATTGCACAAACTCGGTATCTATGTTGACATCAATCTGTTTTCACTTGAAAAAATCTGAGATTTTCACAAACTCGGCATTGCTTACTCCCTTGACTTTGTCCGTGTACACATCGATCTATTTTGTATTAAAAAGTCAGAGGAGCAGCCAGTTCTACACTAGAGCCAAGCAAAAAATATATAATCTCAATAAATGACATTTTAAATCAAACAATGAAATAACATAAAGGAAATTCATCTTATATTATCTAAGCACTACATAAAGGAAATATCCACTTACCTTATTTAGAAATTTCTGCATCTTCAGTCTGTGGCACATAAAATCCTTAACAGCATCCAAAAACTTCCTAAAATTATCTGAATTAGTATCTGTATACTGGTGTCGCCACATAAATTCACAAAAATAAGAGTAAAAAATATCCTCCGTTGTGCTGGTATCCTCAGACGTTCGACCATACGCATTTCCTTCATACAAACAGGACAGTTATAATAGCTACTAAGTACTTCAACTACTCAGGTTACCATAAATAAATAAACTACTCAGGTTACCATAAATAAAACAACAACATGGCTATAAATGAAACTCAACAGGATGGCGATAAATGAAACAACAACTTCGCGATAATCCAAGGGGCACCCTTAAATATAGGCTAACCATATCGTTTTGTTGTATGGTTTTTTGCTGGTTGTTCAGTAGCGGGAATATTTGTTTTTTAATTTTTTTATGTCAGCTTATTTGTAAAGTTATTAAGATGCTGTTTGACAGTTTTCGAACAAATAAACTCCAGGCCGTTTGGAGAATTTTGAAGCGACCTACGGAAGTGGAAGTTCAAGGAGGCAAGGTGTAGTATATATAGCAGATGACACAAAATCAATGGCAATTATTCAGAGTACACAGCACCTTTGCAATTCCACTATAATATAAATGATAGAAACTAAAAGGTTTTATCTTATCATGGTTCAAGTAACATCATTCAATTCAAATCGCAGCAAAATCAAAAGGCAAAAAACGTGAATCAAGTTTCAAGTTTCAGGTTTATTCAATTCAACACACATTCCACTAGCACTGACAGATCCAAAAACAAGAAATATACATCTTGAAGCATTTACGTCCTCTACTGGTGATTAAAATGTATTTCTGAATAAAATTTCTTATACCCACCACATGCAAAGCATTACTTTTCTGGAATGCAGCCTCCCTCTCATTGTTACTGAAGAATGTTCTTTTAGCTTACCCATGATCTTTTTCTTATAATATCATTATGTAGTATCTATCCCCTTCTGATTTTCAATAATAAGTTGTTTAAAAAAAGTAAGCTCTTTTTTTTAACCGAAGAATTTCGGGCCAAAACTCGAGCAAGTGTATTACCCTCTGTTAAAATATGGAGTACCCATGCATCTTAGCAACTTTACTTACCCAGTGTTTACAGTCAATTATTCCATGCATCTGTACTTACCTAATCTTCTTCAAGTGATCATGTACTGTATTTTTTGGAATATTTAGTGTATTAGTTCCTGAACCTTATAATATGGATTTTCAGTGATAGTTTTTTTAGGCCTTTGTTTATAGAGCGTGGTCATACAAAGTAGGCATCAACTTACAGGATGAAATTTCTGGTCTTGAACTTCTCAAATTACCTTTGAACTGAGTCTTCAGAAACTGTGCTTTACCCATATATATAGTATAAATTTTACAAGCAGTTTGACAAGTTTTTTTTTCCTTTTTTAAAATAAAAGAGCATAAATATAATGGAAATGAATTTTTGAAGTCTGCATTCCCAACTATGCACTAAAACAACTTGTTGCAAAGGTAAAGCTGGCGAATGCCATTAGATTTCTACAGAGTGTTGGAGAAAGCAAGCGCTTAGGTTTATACAATTATTATTTTTTTGTCATATAAGGGGATGTAATTGTAATATTTATTTTGTGAACATGCATTAAAACATTGATGATTTCGCATTAAAACATTGATGATTTCTGATGTCAAAGTCAATCCTGTACCGATTTAAATCGGGAAATTCCTGCTGTGGCTGCAGTAAGAAACTTCAGTAGAGCATCCAGAGGAGAAATAACTATCACTTGCTGTATGGTTATAAAATTTTGCTCAATTTTGGATACAAAAAAGCTTTGTGGCTATCATCTTTCCTCCATATTCAAATATGTTATGGAGACCTTGGCCAAATGTAACGACAAAAGTTAATTTTAACATATAAGATATCTTTTCCACTAATATTTACTTAAAATGAATTGAATGTGCCTAATAAGCTAATGTGTTCCAACTAGAAATACTAAATAACAAATGCATTGTGAAGGCAATAACCTAGTTGTTTAAATACTATAATTTATTGATATAACATTCAATAATATTAAAACATGTTGCATTACCTGTATAGTGCCATTTCTTCGTTTAAGAATACATAAGAAGCATACTTTTGCACATTTTGTTAATTTTATTTATGAGTAACTACTTTTTCAATTTACCAAGTTCTCGATTGTCATATTTATCATTTTATCTTAACACAGAAATTATCACTTGTAAACGAAAGAATAAACACTCACATGTTGCTCATATTCGTGGCCTCGGTTTACAAGTCTGCATGTGCACACTATCGTATCTTGATTCATCTCCTTTAATTAATTAAGAAAACACAAAAATATGTTGACACATTACAGTGAATGATATGATCTTCAAATCACTAGTAGTATTTTTAGCATGTACGAAGAATTATTTAGGCATTGCAGAAAAAAAAAGCTGAATGCCCACAGCATGCGGTGAACGATAGATGATGATTATGTCGTTAGTAAATCGCCTCATTTTAATGAAAATAAAGCTGTGAAGAATTAGCTGTAGTTTGGTATATTCTTTTGCTGACATGATGCTTTTGTAGAAAAATTGGAATTTGAAAAAGATATCGACGAGACACTCACTGCCTTTAACGTGCACACCACAAAAAAAAAAAAAAAAAAAAAAGTGGCAAAGGGGATGTGCAGCTCTCGGTGAAATAATGTATCACAAAACCAGTTCGGTCAGACTTTATGCTTTCGCACGATGCAATGACTGTTATTTAGTCAAAGTGGCAGTGTAAAAGCTTGCTTTTACAAAATGAATTGAAGGATTTAATGGAGTTATACCTTCGGTACACTAGTGAAATATCCAGACTACACTTTTTCTATGTACAATTTTCAGCTCAGTTTTCTATTCGTGTAATGCTGTTGCACAAGCTGGGTAATTGTACATAAAAATCAGTTGGCCCATCTGCAAATAAATTAGTATCTTGGTCTCAAATTCCAGAGGAAAAACTTTGCTGATAAGAGAATAAATACCTATAAGTGTTTTATGGGCCTGAACTTCGACATACACAATGTCTTTTGAAAGCTAATTTTTAATCCTGGTTAATTATGAAATGTTTTATGTGAATGTTACATAGGACAATAAAATCACTGACAGTATGTTACATTCTCATTCATTTTATATCTCCTGAAGATGACAGCTGTAGTTTTGTTATCATTGACTGTTATTCCCCAGTCTGAAATTTTCTGAAGAAAATTAATTCATTGCATTTTGCAATTCGTCACCAGTGTATGCATTCCAATTAAATTTGAAAGTACTGCAGTGTCTGCAAACTGTAAATTTACATCTGTAGAGTGTGGTATGTCATTTACAATATATATTGGATAGGAGTGTGACCAGAAGGATATCTTGTAAGACTCTAACTTTTTGTTCTTATAGCATTTGGAAATATTTTTCTTGTACATTGTGTTCGTTTCAGTTAATTAATTTTATATTGTAAACTGAATTG